ATCTATACTTTCAAATCAAAAGACTATTTAGGAAGTACAGTCTCCTTGAGTTGAAGGAAGAGTTAAGGAAAAAGAAATTGTTTTAAGACAGAAATAAAGCATAAAGGGCTGGAGAGATGGTTCTGTGGTTAAGATCTCTTGCAAAAGACTTCAAATCAATTCCCAGCATTTGTGCTAGGCAACTCACAACTGCTTATAACTCCAGCTCCAGGAGGATCAAGTCCTCTGGCCTCTGTGGGCACCTGTACTCACATGCACATACCCACACAGAGCCACATATGCATAAATAAATAAATAAATTTTAAAAGCATAAATAATCCTCAAAAATTGATTTGGGAATCTTCACAAAATATTGTAAGTGATCTAGAAGATGGGGAGGACAGTGAAATGTCCAGATTGACTTATGACTGAATGACTCTCTTCTGAGTCATTAAACTGACAAAACGCACCAGAGAGGTAGGTCTCAACGTAGGAAAGCACCAATAATGATATAGGCAAATGGCATCCAAAATAATTAGATGATTAGCTGTATTAGCTGAAAGATGGTCAAGAGCCTAAAACTATCGCAAAGAAACAGTAATACCAAGTGCTCCTACATGCAAAAGGATCAACATACATGGAAAACCAAGGAAAGTGCTAGGAAGAAAATTCACATTTCCTAATCCTAACCAGTCCTGATGCATTCACAATGAAAACAGCACGTTAGGCTGGTCACATCATCTCAAGAAAGACATGGTAAAAATCTAGATGGCTGACAGAAGACAGAAACTGAGAGGCCACCTTTCTGATACTGTTCATCACTCAGTCACCTGACAAGCAAACTGAATTCACGTAACTGAGAGGAAGCCACAAATAAGTTCAATATTTTAGGTGAAGCTATATTTTTTAAATATACATGACACAAAAAGTAAAGCTAAAATATTAAATAGGATCAAAGGAAATGTTTTCATAATACAAAAAAAACTACCTTCTTTGAAGCCCTTCTGGTGTGGGCCTGCCTATTCAACTGCCATAAAATCCGTAGGTTACATGTCCTACTGCTGGTTAACATTTTCAAACCTTGTTAGGCAATAACAGCAGATGTTTTGTTTCTTCTATAGTTGCCTTTGCCTTCCTATTTTAAAAGGATGAAGATGTGTTTCTATCAGAGGGTGCTATCCTCATCTTGGACGCCACCCAGAACAGACAAGTAAGACTATGACTTCCAGAGAGCTGGACTGAGAGGACAGGGCATAAGAGCAGAGGGTGGTATTTGGAGTGAAGAGAAAATGGCTTCTCTGCTGGAACTTCCACAGAATGTTAACCATGCAGAAATGCTTCTTAAGTGAATTAGCCTTTCCCTATGTTATCAGTTTTTCCTAGACATTACTGTTAAAGAAATCAATTTCTGGTTACAGAACTCACGCAGTTCTGTATCACAACTGTGGAACCATCCAGAGTGCTCTCAAATCACTGACAACATAACCTTATAGTACAAAACACACTTCAAAGAGTAATGCAACAAAAGTAGAGTAGGACAGGGAAAATAGCTAAATTAAATTTTTTTTTTTTTTTTTTTTGGTCTTTTGAGACAGGGTCTCCCTATAGCCCCAGCTGGTCTGGAACTCATTATGCAGACCAGGCTGGCCTCGAACTCACAGAGATCCGCCTGCCTCTGCCTCCCGAGTGCTGGGATTAAAGGCCACACACAGTTTAAATTAATTTTTTTTAACTTTACCTTGAATTACTTTTCCCAAGACATCAATTTATTAATGAATTAATAAAGGAGGAAGTAGAGAAACACAGTGAAATAATACCTGACAACCCCTCTTTTCAATTTCCATGATACATTTCTGTATCAGCAGTGGTACCATCAAGCCTACATTTTCTTTTTCTACAACTTTTTGAATGTCAACACCAAATATTACTGATTCTTGGTTTTTATCTAAGCCATGAAGAGAATTCTCCCACTGTTCTATTAGAGTCACTTTCACATAAATAAGACCTCTGGGTTCAAGTTTCACAGCCAGCTGATGCGTCCTGGTCACTCTGAATAAAGTGGGAAGCACAACCGTCCCATGACAGCACACTCGGTTTTTCCTTGGCGTGGGCTCCCAACTGAACACCACCAGTTTCAAATGCTGTGCATTTTCAATTTCTATGTTGAAAGTGTGGTCCATGTCTAAAAATGTTGTCCGACATGTGAGCAAAGCTGTTCTTGCTTTGTTTACGGAGTCTACCTGAATTGCACAAAAGACATCTTTGGAGTCTAACCGGGGTGGTTTTAAATCCTCTGCACCATAGAAATGTACACTCATGAGCCCGGATATGAACTGTGAGCATTTGGGCTGATCAGAAAAGCTGTAATGTCTAAAGGCATCTATGTCTATTTCATTTTTGCTACAAATGTTTGGAATGATTTCTTTTCCTTTTCCAAATCTGTGTTCGGAACCATGCTTGCTAGATTTAGTGAGAAGTTCAGGCGAGTCTCCGTCACTGAGGTAACCACCTTTGCAGGAATACTTGGAGCTCTCGGCAGTTTTCTTCTGGTAGGTGTGCTGAGAAGACACAGTGGTATCAAGGTGGTACCGGCTTATGACGTTCCTCTTAGCAGCTGTGGTTGGGTTCCCAGAAGGTAGAATAACAGTGTGAGGAATTTCTTGACAGCTACATTTAGATAAAGAAGGAGTGTTATCTGGATTGTTTATATATTGTGAGGCTCCCCTGGCGCTCAGTTTTCTGCTCAATTCTGGCAATCTTTTCATTTTCATGGATAATTTCCTCACAGTGCGTGGAGATTTTATTTTATCTGGCAAAGACCAGTTAATTGAACTGCCTTTTTTCAAAGAGCTAGGGCTTGGAGAAGATGGCTCCATAGCTCCAAATTCAGTCCTATTTGTAGAAGCTAAAATCCCAGGACCTTTAAAAACAAGACAGAAAGATATTATAATGAGATGTGTATCAATTTCTTGTTTTCTTTATAAATAAACTTGGTCTGACATGGACAGAAATTCTTCCCATTTCATTTCAATGGGAAGTATTTAGTTAGAAGATGAGGTCAATCTCCATCTCCATGTTCAAGCAGAATAGCAAGGGTCTGCAGGAGACTTTCAGCAGGAAAGGAGTGTCTCCTCTACCTGCTGTTCTGAAGCCTGGGTTCCTTTTCACAGTTTCCACTGCAGTATGCTCCAGTGAGTATGTTACAACCTTAAATGGTAACTTAAGTTTTGGAGAACACTAGAAAAGCCTTGATCTCAGTACGTTTAAATACTAGTCTAGGGCTAGAGAGGTGGCTCGGTGGTTAAGAACACTTGCACTTGCTGCACTTGCGTAGGACCAGAGCTGGATTCCTAGCATTCATATAGAGGGGTTCATAACCTGTACCTCCAGTTGCAGGGGATCAGATGACCTCTACTGGCTAGCCTCTACAAGCATCTGCACTCACACACCCACACCACACACAGAAACGTATGCACACACGTAACTTAAGAAACAAAGTAAATCATTTAAAAGAACCACTATTCTACTATGACAATGCTTCTTCTGTATTGATAATCCTCTAAAGCTAATTGTCATACCCAGCAGTATTGGGTTTTTTGGGGTTTTTTTTTTAAGTTAAAAGCCAAGTAGACAAGTCTATATTTTGGGCAGCCAAGAGGTCTTCTTTGTTCTAAAATTTTATTAGAATATTCTAATACTCTAATCAAACAAAAATGACCAAATATTGAATACCATAAATATAATCAAATAACTTTATAAGCAATTAAGTCATTTTCTTCCTTATTATATTTGTATACAGGGGCTGGAGAGATGGCTCAGCAGTTAAGAACACTGGTTGTTCTTGCAGAAGACCCAGGTCCGAATCCCAGCACCCACATGGCGGCTAACAACTATCCGTAACTCCAGTTCCAGGGGATCCAACAGCCTCTTCTGACCTCCGCCGGCATTGCACAACACGGGTGCACTTACCTACATGCAGGCAATACATGCATACACATAAAATAAAAAATAATAATAAATTTTTTTAAAGTTTAAAAAATACGTATTTGTATACAATAATTTAACAGAACTTCAAAACATTAAACATACATAAGTTGGACAAGGTGGTACAAGTCTGTAATCCTAGCATATGGGAAGTAGAGGCAGAAGGATTTAAGATCGTTTAAGATCATCTTCAGCTACATAGAGTTTGAGGCCAGCTTGGGCTACATGAAACCCTGTTTCAAATAAAACTGAAACCGAAACAGAATAAAATTAACTTTTTTTCAGTTTTCATAAAGTAAAGCAATAAAGTGTCTTGAATTTTTCTCTATACATAATACCACCAACCTCCACCCCAAAAGGGTTTCATACTATTGTTCAGGTGGTCTAGAACTCACTATGTAGTACAGGTTGGCCTCAAACTCCAGCAATCCTCCTGCCTGAGTCTCCCTAGTGCTGAGATTAGAAGCATAATTTACCATACCTGGATTAAATGTATGTCAAATTTTTATTGTATTTGTTTGAGACAGAATCTCACTGTGCAGCCCAAACTAACTACTCTTGCCTCTACCTTCCAAATGCTGGAATTAGAGACATGCACCACCACCTTTCTTTATGTCAAAATTAGTCAAGTTTACTGTAAAAAGTTTTTTAAAATACCTAATAATACAAATACAGCAAATAGTACTCAATGCCACATACTTAGAAGTTAGGCACTATAAATATTTGGGGTAAAATATTAAAAGTAGTTTACTACTTTAATACATCAATTATTGATACTTCATTATTGAGCTGTCTGGTATTCACAGACCTTCATTCAATTCTCACAGTAACCCTATGAGTTATTATACATTCAGTCTCTCCATCTTCCTAAACACTATTTTTTTTTTACTTTTTTGTTTCTGTGTGTGTATATGGAGTGGGTGTGTGTACACGTGTGCACATGAGCATGTGAGGTAAGAAGAACATTGGGTGCCTCCCTCTACCACTCTCTGCTTCATTCCTTCAATACAGGGTATCTTACTGAACCAGAAGCTCACTGTTTGGGGTTGGGCTGGCTGACCAGCAAACTCCTGGAATTCACCTGTTTCTACCCCTTCACACTGAGGCTACAGGCACACAGAGCAATGCCAGCTTTCTATATGGGGGCTGGGGATTCAAACCCAGGTTCTCATACTTACATACTAACCAGCTCCCCAGCCTCTAAATTTTTTCTGTCCAGACATATACATTAAATTGATTTCAAAGACCTCTTCTCAACTATTCTTTTTTCTTAATATTTTATTATTTTTGTTTTATGTGTATGAGTATTATGCCTGCATGTAAGTAAGTGCACTCGTGTCGTGCAATGCCCACGGATGACAGAAGAGGCTGTCAGATCCCCTGGAACTGGAGTTACAGACAGTTGTTAGCTGCCATGTGGGTGCTGGGATAAGAACCTGGGTCTTCTGCAAGAACAGAGCCATCTCTCCAGCCCCCTCAACTATTCTTAAGAACTTAAATATCTTCTAAAATTTATTATATAAATTAAAATTTTCCTTTAAAGAAACAATCTAGCATGATCTAAAATATTTAATTTTTCAGACTGTCTATTCTTATAGATAAAGATCTAATACTTTCATTAACCATCATATCAGAAGCTGATCTATGCAAAAGTATTTAACAATTAAAATGTGGAAGTGGGGCTGGAGAGACCGCTCAGCAGTTAAGAGCACTAGCTGCTCTTTGCAGAGGACCAGGGTTTGGTACCCAGCACCCACACAGCAGCTAACAATCATCCATAACTCCAATTCCAGGGGATCCAACACCCTCTTCTGACCTCCCCGGGCACTGTACAACACAGGTACACCTACCTACATACAAGCAATATACTCATATACATAAAATAAAAATAACAAATAAAATATTTAAAATGTGAAAGTGTTTATTTTTAACATCAATAGATAAAAGACCTTTCTTTAAAGCATTATCATAAAGGTTTCCCTCCACCCACCTCTATTCTAACAACAAAGAAATAGTTTCTTCTTAGGGAGGCTATTTTAGGCATGCATACTAGACTTTTTTGGTAAACAGCTAGTGAGGAACTGCAAATTTGATGCACTGGACAAAGCATCCCCTTGTACTGCAACTCATTGCTCTAAAACAGCCTGTAATCATCCAGGTCCCACTTTATCTACAATCTATTTTGTCACATTCTAGAAAAGCTACCCAGTATATTAAATTGCTCTGGGTTTTACTAAGTTATTAAGGAACTGAACATTCTGATACTAACAAATTAGTAAATAATCCCTAAATTGTTAATGGTTAAAAATGAAATACTGGCCCGGGCATGGTGGCACACGCCTTTAATCCCAGAACTCGGGAGGCAGAGGCAGGTGGATCTCTGTGACTTCAAGGCCAGCCTGATCTACACAGTGAGTTCTAGGACAGCTAGGACTACAGGGAGACTCTGTCTCAAAAAGACCGAAGGGGGGAAAATAAAAAAATACTGTACATGTTAGAATTTCTACTGCAGACAAGAGGGAATTTATTAAAACAAAAATGTGTATCTATGGAGATGGCTCAATGGGTAGAGTGCTTACATAAGTGTGAGGACCTGAGTTCACTCCTCAGAACCCACAAAGTCAGATGCGGTGGCATGTCTGTAATCCCAATGTTCTTACAGTGAGATGGGAGGCAGAGACAGGGGAATCCCTGCCCGGCATATGCAATAGTTAACAACAAAAGAGAGCCTGTCCAAAACAAGTTGAAGGCAAGGACAGACATGCAGGGTTGTCTCTAAGGCACAGATGTGCATGTGGACTGCACTAGCGCACACAGGTGCACACGTGCACACACATACACACACGCACACACATATTCACACAGATTGCTCTGATTTTATAAAACTCAAGAGAGGAAATACTATGAAATGCTTTATTCATTTAAACTACTATAGCAATCAAATCACAAAGCAGCTGTGTTAACCAAGTACAAAATGAAATATCCTGGGGCTGGAGAGATGGCTCAGCAGTTAAGAGCACTGGCTGCTCTTACAGAGGACCCGGGTTTGGTTCCCAGCAGCCATGTGATGGCTAACTAACCACAACTCCAGTTCCAGGGGATCTGATGTTCTCTGGCCTCCAGGGGCACTGTACACACTTGGTACACTTACATACAAGCAGGAAAAACACTCACATAGATAAAATAAAAAATACATCAAAAAAATTTAATGAAAAATCCTTAAAAATATAAATTCAATGCCTTAAACAGTAAACAGCACAGAGTAGGGATTAACATTTATGGAATAGGGAAAGGGATCAACCAACCAATTGTTGCTCTGTAAACTGCTAGACCTTTTACAAAATGTAATACAGGAATTACCACCAGCAGTTACCTAGTTACCAGCCATCAAGACCCAGTAATAAACCAGGCATGAGGTACACACCTTTAATCTCAACATAATCCCAGCACTCAGGAGGCTTTAGCAAGAAAATTCTTAGTTCAAGGCCAACCTGAGTCACCTTATGAAATCCTGTCTCAATTTTAAAAAGAAAAAGGAGATATAAGTAGTAGTCATTCCACACTTATTTTTTGTTTGTCTGTCTGTCTTCCCAGGGTCAAAACTAGCTACAAACACAAAATAGTAAGTTTAATGACAGTAACCTAAACCCAAATGTGTGTCAGCTTTATGGAGGTCTTCTAACTTTGTTCCTGCCCTCCTGTCAGCGGCACCATCCAGTACGAATCCCTGCCACTGCAGTAATCACAGCCTGCATGCTCAACTACTGTTTTATATAGTATCTATTTTTCCCCCAATCCAGAGTACAAAAAAAAATGATTTAGCCTAGAAAACTAGTCTACAATTAGAAATGCACAAAAGAAAAAGGTTTTATTTACTTTCAACACTAAGAAAACAAAACCACCACTGGCATTTCCAATGTACCTTTCTGAATTTCCTTCAAAACTGCCACCATCCTTCTCATTTCTCTTCTTTTCTCCTTTGTTCATGGGAAGCTAAGACATAAAAACATAAACTAATGCCTACAGGTACACTGGAAAGACAGCCTTTCAGCTTTGGCAAGGTCAAATTGATTTCTATAAAGGAAGTTATCTGTTTTCCTCTCCCCGTGTTCCATTCTTTCACCAATGAGAAAAGAAGTAACCTTTGTCTCAAAGGATCAAAATACTAAAACTGAGTTAGGCATGGAGGTTGTACACCTTTAATCCCTGAGGTAGGAGGATCAAGAATGCATTCTTGATATGTAGCATGGACTACATATCAAGACCCTGTCTCAGGAAAAAAAAAAAAAAAAAAAAATCCAGCATCTCTTAACTCTCAACAGAGAAGTTGCCTTATGCAGCATATGGCAATTAACACAGAGACCCACAAGTAGCCAATGTGCAGAAAACAAGAGGCTGTAGAGTGTTTATCCCTGAATAGGACAGCTGTATCAAACTTCTGCTTAGGGATCATTGCAGAAAAGGGGGTGGAAAGACTGCCAGAGCCAGAGGGGGTGGATGGCTACAAGGAAACAGTCATCCAGACAGCTGGTCATTTACTAATATGAACTCCCAGCAATGACAACATGTACAAGTCCTATGCAAGTTCAAACCAGACAAAATTCTAACATAAACATGGAGAAGTAGGTAAGAAATCCCAACACAACCTAAGGAACAATGGCAAATGATGGCTGCTGGGGGGTGTACAAACACATGACACAGTATCTTACAGGGCTGGGTCTCTTGGTGGCCCAGTGGATGGACCCATACTGAAGGACATTTAGGGACATAAATCTGACTCTATAGGCCCTATTATATATGTAAGAGAGTACATTAAATTGGGCAGGGGGGCACTGGAAGGAGGTACAGATAGGGAAGGGGATCTAAATACCATCAAACTATATTGAATGAAGATTGCAAAAATTCAATAAAAAAATAATAAAAAAACAAACAAAAAACCCACTAAACCAAAACATACCACAGCACACCAGATTGTAAAACCAAGCTTGTAATAAAAATAATACACCATGTGGACGGGCGTGGTGGCGCACAACTTTAATCCTAACACTTGGGAGGCAGAGGCAGGCGGATCTTTGTGAGTTCAAGGCCATCCTGGTCTACATAGTGAGTTCCAGGACAGCTGGGCCTACAAGGAGACCCTGTCTCAAAAAGAAAAAAAATAGTAATAATACACCGTGTATATAAAGGTATTTATTGGGCTAGGGTTGTAGCTCAGCAGTATTTTGAGTGTGTAGTATATGCAAAACCCTATGTCTGACCCACAGCATGAGCGTGCGTGTGTGTGTGTGTGTGTGTGTGTGTGTGCGCGCGCGTCTTTGAGCTCTTTTTTGAAATGTACTCATTTTGCTTTTTTTTATTTTTAGTTTTGTGTATGTGTGTGTGTCCACATGTACACACGTATGTGTATGCCACATATGTGGGGGTGCCCTCAGAGGGTAGAAGAGGGTCTTGGATCCCCTGGGGCTGGAGGTATGGGCAGTTGTGGTTGTAAGCCACTTGATGTGGGTGCTGGGAACAGAACTCAGGTCCTCTGCAAGATCAGCAAGTGCTCTGAAAGCTGCGATCTCTACAACCCCAAAATGTATTCACTTTCTAAGGAAAAGTTTAATAGAGATACAACAGACATCTTCTATATTTAGCTTTAGCAACTATCAAACTTTCATCAGGTCTAGCAGACAACAGGCTGGTACTCAGAGCAGCAGAGTTTGCCTCTTCAAACCTTGAAAAAGAAGAAAGAAAAAGCAGATCTACGATCATCTGTACCTGAAAAAGCAGATTTCAACACGGGACTGTCCTCTACCATTATACCTTCTTGTGTCTTGTGTCTTAAGGCCTGCTTGTACTGCTGCAGAACTTCTGTAGAATGGATGGCATCTATGGAATTCATTCCACTTGACTGGGCAGTCTGAACATCACCCATGCGCTGGGCAGGCAGCAAGTCCATATAGGGCTCTGCTTTCATCAGGTCTCTAGCAGACAGCAGGCTGGCACTCAGAGCAGTAGAGTTTGCCTCTTCAAACCTCAAAGCACCCGATACGTCAAGGTCATCATCCTCAGGGATGGGGTTGTACCATATTTCTCCTTCGTCATCAGCATCATTTTCCTCACTAAAGTCTAAAGAACAATTTCTTGACAATGAGAAGTTAGTAGCATTACACACCATGTGGGTACAGTGTTCATCAGGAGATTTGCAGAAAGGCTGTGATAGCTGATATTTGGGTGGAGACACAGCGGAGATGGAGAAATGACTTCGATCCTGACATTTCTTGTTGTCTTCCAGACTCTGAGATCTGAGAGTACTCTGATATAACCAGTTGCGTTTCTTTGAAACAGTGATGCTGTTAAGCAGTTTATGGGGCTCAGTGCTGCCCTTTGGATCTTCATGTTCTCTCTTCTTCACTGAAGACTCACAGACGTTTTCAAATAAGTCTGTTTCAAAGGAGAAAAGACAGAATACAATAATGCCAGGTATGAGAGGAAGGATAGCGCACTTCAGACCAGTTATTAAAATTTTTAAAAAGAATATATTAATCACATTCATAGATCAAAGTCAAACCACAAAAACATTAATTTCCTATCTAAATATAATTTCTATTATTTAGAAATCCAAGTGCAGGTGTGCCATGAAATTCTAAGAAAAAACATATATAAGCTAACACTGCCTTTATAAAACGCATAGTGCTGGGGCTGGAGAGATGGCTCAGCAGTTAAAAACACCGACTATTCTTGCAGAAGACCCAGGTTCGTATCCCAGCACCCACATGGCAGCTAATAACTGCCTGTAACTCCAGTTTCAGGGAATGTGACAGTCTCTTCTGTTCTCCGTGGGCACTGCACGACACTGGTACACTTACCTACATGCAGGCAATACAGGCATACACATAAAATAAAAATAATAAAATATAAAAAAAAAGCATAGTGGCAAAGTCTTACTCCACACATACTAATTTGCAAAAAGCTTCTATAGAATGCTTTCTATACAACACTATGCTTTTAATTAATATTTGAATAATCTCCAACTCATTATTAAAAGGACAAGAAGTCACTAGAAAGCACAAGTAACATTCCTTTCTTTTCATAGATTTTTTTTTTTAAATAAAAAACTAAAATAAAATTCTAATTTTCAAAACTATGTCTTACTGAGTCAGGTATGGTGGCTCATGCCTTTAATCCCAGCACTGGGGAGGCAGAGGCGGATCTCTGTGAGTTGAAGGCCAGCCTAGTCTACATAGTGAGACTTAGTCTACATAGTGAGACTCCAGCTTGGGCTACGAGGACACACGCTCTCAAAAAAACCAAAAAAAAAAATATATATATATATATATGTATATAAATATATACAT